CATGGCTCCTGAGCTTTGCACAACCTCTCTGCGAAAACACAGAAAGCCTAGTCTGCCACCAAGCTTCGCGGGAGAGGCATCAAAGCTGCGCTCAGATTTCTCCTCATGCGAGACGTGGTTGGCACATGGCTGGATGCTGGAACCCCATGCTACCCTTTCTGACATGCTGAGATCCACACCGTCTTGCTGAAGGTCCTAAGACATGCGTGATCAATGGGTGCGGCTGATGACGACAGCGCGAAAAAAAAAGTCCCGGGCACGCTGTTCCCATGGACCTCCGCCACATGATTCTCGGTAGCCCGTGTCTGGAGTTTAGACTAGACCATAAGTGCTGGCGAGACGCCTCCGTTGCCTCGTGGTTCTTGGTGGACTGTAGCGCGCAATCCTCATGTGAGTCGCCCTCCTCTGTGGGTCTGTTGGGCGCAGGCGGCTTGGTCTCGGGAAGCTCTGCGTCTTTGGGTTCCCGTGCTTCGCTTCCTGGATCCCCCCTTCGCTCTCTTCGAGAAGTGGGTCTCCGCGCATCGGTCTCCGTCTGAGCGGGGAGTCTCGGTTTCGGGCTCTTGCTTTTGGTGACAGCGACGGGTCCCACGAAGCTCTTGGCGCGTATGAACTTGCTCCTGCGCCGTTTCGGCTCCGCCAGCGCCTTGAGGCGTTCCAGGGAGACGACGCGGACGGGAGCTGAGCTGGGCTTTTTTTCCGCCGATGCGCTGACGTTGCTTCCGCTTGCAGGGCTCGATGCTGGCCTCTCGAAGTGGACAGTGGCCAAGGAAAAGGACGGGGTCGAATCGGCCGAAGAGGAGAGGATGCGTGTGGTAGTGCTTAGCCTTGGCCTTGTCGCGCTCAGTGGGTTCACCACTTTGACCGTCTGCTTTGGCTGGCTCAAGCGCTCACCGAAGTCCACGGTGGTTTCCCGCAGCGCCCGCGGTGTCCGAGGAGCCTCGTCCCACGCCAAAGGTCCCACTAGTTTGGCCAACAATCGCGGCAGCACCTCGGTGTAGAGCCCCTCAAAGGTTAAAGTATGTTAGCAGATGTTAGAAGTCTTCAGTCCTGAGTGGCTGCACATCTATTTAACAAGGCTGCGGCACTTTGTACCGAGTCCGCACGTCTCGTGCGTAGGGCGTCGGGAAGGAGAGGTGGTGCCAACCGGAGGCATCGAGCCAAGACGTCGATCTGTCTGCGATCCCCGGCAGCTTGGAGTGCACGGGGCGGAGCGCCGGCTCGCTCCTTCAAAAGCCACACGGAGCCCCTGCTTCTTTGGGCCTCCCAGCTCCGGTTCCCCTCTCCTGGTCGTGGAACTCCGCGTCTGGCAGCTTCGCTCCATTTTGGCCTCGCAAACTTCAGGCCACATGCCTTCATGATCCCTGACACCCCCAACCAAGCCGCACGAGGCCAGGGAAGCTATGAATCTGTGAGTATCGTACGTCCTGTTTGGCACTACTCTTCAGCCCATATTTTGGGTCGCTTCGTTCATTTGACGTCACCAGCGCGTGAGCTCAAATGCCGGTGAACACCCAAAGCGAAACAGAGCCTGGCCTTGTCGGCCTAGGTCTTTACCCTCACTGGTTGTGCTCCACCGTGCATGTGACACAGGGAGAGTCGGGGAGCCTGCAGCAACTTCATCCAAGAAGACTGCGGACGGCGATCATTTACGCCTGCTTGCAAGATGTGAAAGTGTGGGGCGGCACATTGAACTTATCATCTCCAAGCTGGAGAAGCCTGCTGGTCCGGGGCTTCTTGGAAGCGACTTCCCCTTCTCGAGCCAGTGCTGCATTTTGGGGCAGGTGCCTCCAAGCGGCGAGCTCTGCTGTGCCAACTGAGACATGCAAGGCCATCTGCTTGCCCTTTTCGCATTGAAGCAGATCAATTTGAGCCGTGACATCAGCTTGGCTGCATGCCAGTAGCATGTGAGACGCGGACTACTACATGTGCTACATGTGGAGAAGCTGCACCGTGCCGGGTACAGCCAGGATCTTTGCCTTGAGAGCTCTTTGCACTTCTGGCTGTCTGCTGTCCCCTGGCTTCCGAAGGCTCCCAGGTAATAACACGCCCTGAGGGCCTCCGCGGGTGCATCGCCCTCTTAAAGGCTCCAATTCAGAGCCGCCAAATCAGAAACTCGTTGAGGCAGATGCTGCATGTGCTGCCATAACGATTTGCCCCCGTTTCTGTGCCCAAGTGCGTTTGGCCCGGTCAGCACAAGCACTGCTCTGGTAATTAGGACTTTTTCAACGTACCGGATATCCGACCACCTAGCAGGCACTGCGTGTTGCAGCCACCCGCTTGCGGACAGTATTCTGCTGAAGTTACTCCCGCACCGATTTTGGCATCAGGGACTCCGCAACCTGACAATGCTTTGCTTCCGAAAGGAGCTGGCAAAAAGGTCAAGTAGACAGGTTGCATACAGCTGCTGGCAGATTTGGTGCCCTGCCTCCTCGAATTCCACGTCTTCCTCGGCTTCTCGGCCATCTCTCTGGAGTGCCTCCTCCCGCAGCTCCCTCAACTGGGCCAGGACGTTGGCGAACCTCTGCAGGGGCTTGTTCCTTTCAAGCTCAACGAAGCTCTGCTTGACCTGAGGACGGGGCTCTGCGGTCATTTTTTCCATCAGGGTCCTTGGCTTTGGCGACTCGGCATGACATGAGCAGATTGGCCCAACTTCTGAACAAGCCGCCACTGCGTTGACTTCACCAGGGACTTGGTGAGGCGGAGCTGTTCCTTCACATCCTTCACCTCAACACCGGATGCGGATACATCGATAGGGCGTGAAAGCACGCACAGCTTCACCCTTCGCGGTATGCTGCTAGGGAACGGTGGCAGCATTGCCCCCTCTCATGTTCAGCAGCAGCTCCAGGGCTGCAGCAAAGTCGAGGCCGTCCTTGCCGTTCTTGGAGAGGTCCTTTAAAAAACGCTGTGGTGCTACGGCTGCGAAGGCACACAAACGCCGCAAGCCTCGTAGATCATGTCCAAGCTGTCGACCAAAGCGATGACATCCACGCCCTCTCCTGCGGCATACCAACTGATGCGCTGATACTTCTGGGCCTGCGTGCTTGCTCCTGAGAGGATCACGGCAATCTCTGGCTCCAGAAGGAGCTTTTGGAATTCGAACTGCGTCAGAGGTTCTTCCTTAATTTCACGGGCTTGCCTTGCAGCGCTGCATGACCTTGCGCAGTCGCTCAGGCCAAAGACAAGCCACAGAATTGTAGCCGAGAGCGTCCATCTTATCTCGAAGCTCGCTGGCCAGGTAAGCCACTGTCAGGCCTGTCTATCACGGACTCGCAGTGTCGGAACATGGCTTGGCCCAGAGCCACCGATGCTTTCGTGCCTTCTTTTTCAGTAGTTGATATGACGCGGATCACATCCACCAAGACACCCACCAGCATGTACCTTGAGGAAAATCATTTGCACATCAGGGGACGGTCATATCAATGACTGGCTCCGGGCACATGATGGTAATAGAACAGAGGAGAAAGAAGCACAGGATCAGAGGCCACATCCAGGCGCCTGCGTTTCCTTTGCAAGCTTGCACGTGTTGCCACTAACAACAGCAACTCCCGAACTTATGCAGTCCAGACAAGAGGCCCAGCGTGGTCACGATTTCACGTTGTTCGGGAAGAATTCCGTAAAGCAGCAAGTTGTTGACAGACTGCGGCACGTTGGCGAAGTACCTTGCGGCCAGATGATGATGATGGTGATGATGGTGATGATGGTGATGATTATGATGATTATGATGATGATGATGCTGCTGATGACGCTGATGATGATACTGATGCCGATAATACTGATGATGATGATGATGATAACACGATCGTGTCAAAGTCAAAGAACGACTTCCTGAGGAGTCAGGCAGTCTGCAGACATGCGGCTGGCTCCCCACTGATTGGCCCTCGGTGAGTTGCCGGAGCACCAGAGCGAAGACATAGATGATCATCATCCAGAGAGCGAAGAACACCACACTTAGTTGTGGACACTACAGATTCGCAGATTCTGCGCAGCGCAAGCGAGAAGCTAAGATCAGCTGAGGCACACTGACCTGGTAGCAAGCCTGATGCCTTTCATGATGATCGTAAGCCTGCATCCGAGGCCAAGGCAGCCAAGCAAGGACAATCGATCCGGCCATCGACGCAGCACCGTCTGCATAACCCGCCAGAGGTGCTCAGGCACTGCGCGGAGCAGCTTGGCCATGCGCGAGAGCCGCAACAGCTTTACCATGCGGAACATGCGCAGTGTTGAGAGGTCCTGTCATCAGCAAGCAACTTCTCTCCAGAGCCAGCCGACCATGTGAGCATCGATTCTGCAGGAGCAGCTAGGAAAATGCAAATCAGAGCAGTCCAGAGCATTTGCCAAGTCGAGGTTGAACCCCAGCACGATGATGGGCATTATCCACGTTTCGATGACCATGGTAAAAACCAGCAGCGAGTCAAAAACGAACCAGCCTCCCGTTCAGATCTTGCTGGGGAAACGCGATTTACACAGACAGCTGAAACAACAAGAAACTCCGTGCTAGACCAAGCAACCGTCCCGCAAACACCGCCACTTCTCGGCAAAAGCCATGAAGCGGATGAAGACTTCAGCAAAAAAGTACGTGCAGAAGAGGTTTTCAACCTCGGATCTGCAGCTCATGGATCGCATGGGGCATTGACCTACAAGACGCTGAAGCTTGCTTTTCCTATCAGCGAAACTGCAGCTGAGAAAACGAGAATAAACGGTGGGCTGGCGTTGGTGATAACGGCTGCACTGTTGAGGTCGGCATCCACAGCGATCCACCCAGCATTCAGGATAACCTCGCGTTGAGTCGGTGCAAGAGACCCTTCCCCTAACTAACATGACACACTATGCATTCTTGATTTTACAAGAAGAAATGCCATGAACACTACAAGCAAGCGACCATAAAGAGGCTGAGCCAGTCGAAGGCTGTGCTTCGCGCGATCCTCCGGATCTCGACGTCCGTGTTTCTTCCAAAAAAACCCCGATACTGCCTCAAAAACCTGCTGAAAGAACAACTCTGTCTGCACATGGAAGGTGCGCGCATACGTACACAAAACATCAGGCTGCGGCGGCTTACAAACATGCACACGTGCGCATATGCAACATACGTCATACACGCCTGCCTACATACCTACCTATCTACATTTTAGCACCCACGCTCGACGAGGTCAGGCGAAGTTTGTGGCAACAGGACTAGATGCAGCAGGCTCCTTTCGAGCCTCGCAGTGCGGCTTCCTAACGACAGCTAAGCTTCTTACCCACCTACATACATATACATACATATACAT